AAAGCCAACCGGGAACACATGGACCTCAAATTCCCCAAAATGTTGGCTGTGAGCTATCATTGCAGCTATTCAGCTTGTGAGGTTTTTGATTCCCAATTTAAGTCATATTTGGAGTTGCGGTGCATTTATAGAAAAAAAATATTATTTTTAAGCACTAACTAAAATTATTTTTAGGATATTTAGCAATTAATTTTTCGTAACTTAAATATTCCAATTTTTGGTAACCTGAAAGTAAGGGTGTATTTGGATTGAAATGTTTTGGAACAAAATAATTTGTTTCATAAATTTCAATCACCTTGTTACCTTTCAAATCACATTTTTATCTCATATACATCATATCATAAAAAGTGTTACAGTAATTATTTCAATTAAATCATCCAAATAAACTCCTATCCAAACTAGCTTTAGAAGTTACCGTAACTCCAAACCGGAACCTAAGTATTATTCTTTCCCGTGAGATTTTTTATTCTCAAGTTTAGAGCCCTGTTGAGATAGCCTTCTAATAAGCAAGCTTTTGCAGAGCATTTCGCTATATTTTCCTTGGTATAACTCACTAATTAAACATTTATCAGTTGATTATCTACATTCATCTCGTGTTCCGAACTATAATCTTATTAATTAAACAAGGTTGGTGCAATGGTGTGTATCCATATAAAAATTCATTTAGTCTTTCCTGTGAAAGGAAGAATGTAAACGCATGCTTGATCCATGATTTGTTTTTGATAAATAATTTGCAATTTCTCTTATTATTACAATGATACAAACAACAAAAAAATGAAGTATTGTTTGTAGATTATAGATGTCAATTAAGCATAATTGCGAATCTGGATGGTAGAGTATGGGACGACAAAAGTTTAAATGGTAGTACTAATTATTGAGCCCTTATAATTCCGTGATAAGTGACACGTAGTATTTTAATTAAGGCGTGGTTGATTGACTTGAAGCTTTGACGGGTATTTTATGTTGTCGGATTGCAAGTGGAAGATGATGAGAAAGAATTTTGCTGTGTCACGCGGTCCAACTCATCCAGTCACCAGCCACCAGCCACAACCAAATGTACCATCCCAGTCAGAAGTCATAACCATAAGTGACAACCTCTGTTTAACTACCAAATACAAATAGGAGAGTATGCCCTCTCACTTTAGAAACCACTGGGGCAATGGTTCAGTAGCCACCAGGAAGGGACTTAAGTCCCTCTTGGGCTGTTGGTGAGGGTTTGAAACTTTACTAGCAGCGAAAAAAATCTAAAAATTGTATCATAACATTCTCTTGATCTAGTTGAGTCTGTATACCCACTAACCCCTACAACAGTCTCCTTAGACTCCCCTCCTCCTAGATTAGGATAGAGTAGGTTATACAAATGTATCGTTGTTGAAAAAAAAAAAAAAATGCCCTCTCACTTTAGAGCAAATGTCACAAATTTTTTGCCATTAAACCTGTTATTTAGCCAAAATGATCATTCAACTAATTAAAATATACATTTTGTCACCAAAAAATTATATGTTGTCATTAGTTGAGTGATTAAAAGGGAAAATTTTTAATAGTCGGGTGATCAAAAATATACTTTTTAATTTGTTAAATGACTATTTTGACTAAACAAAAAATGTAATGACTAAAATAGAAAATTCTAAATAGTTTAGAGGCTTTTTTGCCCACTTATTCCTTTCTTTATTTAACTGTTCTATCCTACCTAAAGAAGGCAGAAGGATCATCTTACTAAGTCCAAACTAAACACTGCAATTGTACTAATAATGTAGCATTTCTGGTTCTTGCCATTTTGCCATACCGAAGAATCACACTAATGATACTAGTAATCTAATGAAAATTTTGAAAGAAGACAAAAGAAAAGAAAATCTTTGCACGTACCTTTCTCCAGTTGTAGAGTGTTTTTCTTTTCGTTTTTTTTGGTAGAGGGAGATATATAGTCAAATTATTCTTCATAATGGTATTCCTAGCTCAAAAAATTACAAAACTAGTATATTATGCTTTTCTTTTTAGTAATCTTTTGGATAAAGTAAAATGGGCGACGTTCTTCGATGCGTTATTGACAGGAAGGTTGGGCAAGAAAAAATTCCGTTGACTTTCAAAAGCCCAATATTTAGATCCCTTGTTAACACCGGAATTGTAATACTTATACCAAATAGTAGGGTGTCAACCGGTCGGGGTCGGATTAAAATTGAAATTTTCGGATTCGAATCCGTTTTTTACGTAATAGACCCAAATCCGACCTATATACCTGACGGGTATTGATCTTAAAATTTTGAAACCGGATTTGATGGGCCTCGGGTCAGATCCGGATCTACCCATAAAAGAAGATGTCCAAAGTTAAATATTTCAAAATTAAATCCAAAATCAATCACAAATCCAATATCCAAACATAAACAAATCAAATTACAAAACTAAATCACAAATAGCTTGCAACAATCAATTTAAAACTAATCACAAATCAATCTACAAAATTATTAATTTGGTTAAAGAATATATTTAGAAAAATTTATATTTTATAATTATTAATTTATTGTTCGGATTTTGATCGGATACGGGTCAAAATCCTATATTCCATATCCGACCATTTTTTTTGTTCGAGTAAACGAATCCAGATCTGGGTTCGGTATCGAAATTATTTTTTAACGAAAATTTGAAAAAAATTATCGGATCCGGGTCAGGTTGGGATCCAAATCTGAGCCATTGACACCCCTACCAGATATGCATACGATTCAAGGTTTTTTTGAGGGACGCTTCAAGGTTAAATGTTGTTGGCTTTTAACATTAATCAAGATAGAATATGTTTCACCTTATCGACGCCTAGAAGTTTTTCCGTGCCGAAACCTCTTAGTACATGCGTTTTGGTCAATTCACCGTGCACCTGCTGTTTTTTAATTGTTAAACAATGATGTCTTCCTTTGCAGAAAATTTTACTGGTTTAAGTTGTAAAAGCCCCCACATAAAGGTAGGTTAGCTACTCACGGACTCAGGTGACTCCGTGCTCTAATGATGATCGATAAAGAAGAAGCATCCTTGTCTGACTTTTGGGGCATGCATGGATTGCCAATCAGCCATGCTTCTCATATTGTAGCAAGCAAGAGGCATGATAATTAATCACAACTGTATTTGTTGATTTTTCAAAACCTCCTCCGGCCACAGCCCTTGCTCAACAGCCACCACCATGCCTCAGCCCCGCCCCTGCTACCCTCGCGATGCATGTCCGGTGTCTCTTTTTATAGCCTATGATCTTTCATTAGCACGAGGAAACCTTTATCGCAGTTGATATGTAATTTATATATCTATATTATGATTAACAAAATGTCCACTGCTGCCTGCCTCTTCCTTGCTCCATATCTCTATCAAGACGGGTGTCCGTCTCCATTGTCATCTTTATTACGTCGCAAGAGTCCCTGCTTTTCTTCACCAAAGATTTCATGCTAGAAATGAATGACACCACGGATTTCCCTTCCTCCAAGATTAATGAATAGCACCACAGATTTTGGATTATGACATGTTTACAAGACTTTCAGCATTTTACTAACATTCTATTCAATACTTTACCATGTCCCAAGGACATCCTTGCCTAAACAAGATTACGGTGCCTTGCTTACCCAATCTACGCCACCCACATCAAACATATGTATACTCGAAAACAAAACGAGTTGCATTATGACACAAATTTGTGTCACTATTGGGGGTTGTCCACCTTTGAGAAGTTGAAATCCGTACCGAATCGACGAGTTCAATTGGTTGAACTGGAAACCAAATAGGTAAAACCGTTAAACAAAAACTCGATCAAAAAATGAGTTTGACCGAAAATCAAAAGAATCGTTTCGAATCGGGTTTTTTTCATCTTTTTTTTTCAAAACCTTTTTTTTTTTTTAACTACTCTTAAGTCTCTTCACATATCCTACCATCAATCTCTCTCAAACAACTCCAATGGAAGATCTAAGTTCAAAAAGAGATAAAAAAAAAATGGAAAAAAAAGAAAGTAAAAAATTCACCTAGAAACATATTATTAATTTTATGATTTGACCCCTAGAGTACAAGAAAACTATTATTACACCTAGAAACATATTAGAACTTATAGCTAAAGCCCTAAATTCTTGTATTACTTTTCAAATAAGCTGACAGGTCGTCAGCATGTGCAATAATAAATACCTGCTCAAACTAAAAATAATTTCTGTAGATAGTGGTGAGTAGAGTCGAATCCACAAGGACTGGGAGTAATTGTTTCTTTTCAAGTTCACAGTGACAAGGGGGTGGTTTTGTGCAGAAAGTGACAATCAAATAAATTCAAATAAAATCTAAGAAACTACTAAAAATTAAATAACAAATTACTAAAATCAAATGAATGATAATTAAGAATCTAGCCAAGGAATAACTACTCAGGCACAGTCCATGTATCCGATCATTGATGCAAGAGAGGTTCACTTAATTTATTAATAGACTAGTTATAGCCATCGAGGAACTCTAATGACCAATTTTTCCTTAATTTATAGGTGACCAAGGTACGACCATTAGTCACCCCTAACCAGAAAAGTACTCCTAGGTACGACCGTAGAAATTAATTTTTCAATTGCATTAATAACCAGAAAAACCTAGCCCTAATCAATAACACGCTACGAGGGTTATTTAAATTAGATTGCACGCTCCCCTAATGTGTAAACACACCAGTTGCCACTAATATTAATCAATCAAACAATTACGGATTTAATTGACTAAATTGGCACAAGATTAATATATCACATTGAACATCGGGCCCTTGACATCCAATTAATAAAATAATCCCATGAAAATTAAATCAGGCAACATGCAAATATTAATAGATAAAGGAACACGTGAAAACTAATTAGATCTCACAGATCTTCGGGACTGCGCCGTCGAGTTGACCCTTGACTAGATGGAAGACTTAGCCACGCCGCATAATTAAATCACCACACGGATTAATAGATTGCAAAGGCATTGCGTTTTCTATTAAGAAGCAAGGAATAAAAGGGGTTTTTCCCGTTGGGGAATATCGTCGAACACCTGGCGTGTGTCAGAGGCCAGTCAGGAGAAAGAAAAACTAAAACTAAACTAAAAGACTAAAAACTAGAGATGTCTTCTTTCCCTACGTTATCCCTATTTAAGAAACAAAAGAAAGATAGACTAAAGCTATCTAGGTGGTCCCCACACATGTGGACAAAGCCTCCAAAGTACTTCTTGTTCCAAGTCTCTTTTACGTAGCTTTCTTTGAAGAGCCCAAATGACTTATAGCTTTGTGGTCCCCACCAATCCAAGGGCCCAAGGATTGAATCCCTTAGAAGTCTCCATATTCTTCATAAAATCCCTCCTTTTTGGTAGTTTTCTGTTTCATTCCTGAAATTAAGTCCAGATACCAAATATGAGTAGATATCAGCAATTAACACAATATTTATCAGGAATAAAAGGAGAAATTAATAATAAAATTACTAACAAATTATACCCTATCATAAGCCCTCCAATTTGGTTATAAACTTGTTGAATATGCATTAAATAGTAAATTGCATAAATTGCTACTTAATTATACTACTTTATTTGTATTTTCTTGTAAAGTATCTTAGAAACATCAAACATACATCGAACTTGCCTGTTTTAATATTAATATTTTTAAAAAATTTTACATAATGTATTCATTTTTAAAATTAAATATATTTATGACATAATGATAATATCATCCGATTCTTGGATAGATACCCGTTAACCCCTGATCTCGATCGAGTCGGTGGCCGATCTGAGTTTCAAAACATTGGAAATAATCGTAAAAAATTATGTATAAGATTATCAATTTCTCGAACTAGTCACTAACCATGGATCAAGGTCATCATAATCAGGAAGGAGAGACAAAATTAAACACTAAAATAATCACCCAAAAAAAATCACCCACTGACTTGTACGATCACAACTCGTAGGGTCAACACCGACGGAGGCTCTCTTCTAATGGCCACCAGTCATCAGGACCTAATACAGTTTATATCGACACAAAATCGATTCAAATTCACTAAGCCAAAATGATGATGATTAAGGAGAAACAACTCGAAAATTTACCTTAATCACGAAAACTCACCACATTATCATGACCTGCAGCCGCCTGACCATCATCATAATCAAGATTACTCCCTCGGATTGGATTCAACACTTGATCAACCTCCCGGAAAGATACAGTCAGACTGCTCAATTTTTCATCAATAGCATCAAGCTGGTTAAGAATAGACGGTGACGGGAGATCACCATTGACGACCCCGGAACACTTATCAAATATATCTTTCTTACTTTGGAAAGAATCCTTCACGGCGTTGTAGAATTCCATATTTTCTTCGATCTTTGCAACTACTCCGTCCACATAATCCACAGCCTTGCTCATGCTGTCCAGTTTTTGCTGCGTTGTACAGAGGTAGTTCATCTTATCAAAATTTTGCATGACATCTTGGGCGGTCTGCGACAGAACCTGAATTTCAGCACTGACTTGATCCATTAGCGGGATAAATGCTGGCAGCTCGACATGAACGGCATTGCGGAAATGTTGCTCGGCAGCCCTGAAGCCATCAAGCATCTCTTCCAGAAGTAATCGGCATTCCGACATGGCTACTCCGATGGCCATTGACGGAGTTGACATCTCAGATTTTTCTTTTTTCCTTTTGTAAATTCTCACAAGAAGCCTAGAATTGATGATACTACTAAGTGCTAACTGGAATAGACTCCTCCTAATGGTAGACTCCTCAAGTTAAATAGCGTACAGCCCATGGAATCCATTTTCTTGATAACTTTTACATTACCCAAACATGTTTGTATGGATGGATGATTATTTGCCAAAATTTATTTGCTTACGTCATCGTTACAATTTCCAACACACTTTTTTATCTTCTCAATTACCTTTTTATCTCACATACATCACATCACAACAAGTGCTACAGTAAAAATATCTCAAATAATTTACAATCCAAACAGATGATAATCTAATATTCTTCACACTCATAATTTATCTATAAAATGAGAATTTCAAGTTTTCGCTCTAAATTCTAAATTAAAAAATAAATTGCAAATTTTGACATATATTTGATTATGCTCTTGCAAACAAACTAGATAGGGATTTGTTTCTCAAAATTCAACCACGACTTAATAGAGTGGCAATGGATGCTTCAGAAAGTATATAATAATTCCCTTCCTTTCCCCGACTCAAATGCCAATGATAATGTGGTTTTCCTCACGGAGAAAACTGCAACTTGGGCCTCTTTTTTCTATCTGTTACATACACGATACAGGGTAGATCCCATGAATTCTAATTGACCTTGCATCAATTACATGTAACATAATGCAATATCGAGTCGCTCTGAACTACCCGTTTTTCTCCTGGATTCATCACCAGTACAATAAACAATACTACATAAAAATGCGTATGAATAACCTATAGCAAAATACACGGCATTAGGCATTACGAAAACACTCTTTCCGTTTGATGATTTGGTAAAAACCAAAGTAGCATTTTATGTGATCAACGAATTGCTTAACACACCTTGCAAGTTCCAAGAAAGCGTGAATCATTCGGAAGTTTATTTTATTTTCCAAAATGTAATGCTGTCAAGAAAATTCAAATGTAAACCACAGTGAAGAGTGTTGCGAGAACAATTAAGGATTCATGCACACAATCAACCCTTGTCGACTCGTGCAGCCAATTTCAGAGAATTTTCTTGTTTAAAGGGGGAAAAAAATAATTGATGACTAGGCCATGAAGGACAACTGAAAAGCTAGTGAAACCTTTTCCTACAGTTTCGCAGGTATCAGAAAAGGCCATTTGAAGGACCAACTGGAACATCATCACCCATGCATTTACAGCCTCGGTGCCACAAGTTTTGTTTGAAAACTAACCAAATGCAAGGTTATAGATGATGCCCTCCTACCTGCTACAAGTTTTTTTCCCATTATACATCCTTGCTATTCTGAGCATCTGCTCAGTTCGTATTCCAACAACTTGCAACCGGCGTCACATGAAGTTATGATTGAGGAGACAATTCTCCTCTGTAAGTCTTTGAAATCCATTGCAAGCTTTACATCCCAACTGCAACTGTCCCTGAGAAGTGGTGAGACCTTCAGAAATTTGAAATGCATTTCAACTTCTGGAGGTTGCATATTACAAGCTGACTGCTACTTACCTGTCATCAAGCTCTTCTCCACCGAGGGACTCCATCATATCTTCAAAGGTAGAGCGAAGGTCATTGAGTATTTCAACTTCAATTTCCAGGCTATCCTGCATGGAGAGATAATGATGCAGAGCCAAGGATCAGGCTTACACGCTGACAAGGGTCATGCAAAGAGCTAGAGGAGGACCATTTGACAATTATCAAAGTGGAAATGCAGATGAAAAATGAAGGACACTTTTGGCTTGGAATTACGTGGGTCTTTGTTCGTGAGATAGGCCCCCGAGGCCTTCGAAAGTGATCAAGCAATGGAGGTGCCAAACCATAATTGAAAATCCCATTGTTCCTTGAGAACCAGGTGCCCCGCACCATGTGACTATCGGACATGCGCCCTGCATCCTCACAATCTTCATCTTGGGCAATATCAATATCTGTCACATACAAGGAACTAAGTATAAAAGGAGGATAATCTATATGTACTTCCAAGATATATATTTATCTCAAGTCAAAATGAACAGCAAATTGTATGTTCATACAAGATTTCTGAAATGCAAGGAAATGCACAAAAGTAAACTCAATTATCTTATGGCCTTACCAAGCAGAATAACATCATAAGGATTTTTTTGTCGTGGCAAAAAGCCATAAAAAGTAAGTAAATGTGAGCTGGAGAAATTTCCATAGGTAAGAAAGCATTGCTCTCCTGCATTGCAAGGCCTTGACAAAGGAAATTTTACAGAATCTGTCAATGGATCTACTTTCCCATAGTGCGTTATGTGTGGACACGTCTGTCACAGAAAGAAACACAGGTATAAGCAGAAAAATAAGATAATCAATGAAAAGCAAAGCATTGTGTCTAGGCACCAAAAGCCAGTGGCTACTGCTTTTGAGAGAGTATCTGAGCAGGCAATAAAAACACATTTTTGGGGAAAGCATATTAAATGAGGGGAAGGAGTAGATTGTCGAGTCCATCCAGGGAATGCTAGAAGCAGAAACCCGCCGCCCCCCCCCAAAAAACAAAAAAAAAACACTTTTTCTTTGGCGGTGCTACAGCTGAATTTGTAGGTTCTCTTTCTATTGCCTTCTTTTTCTAATAAGATGTATTATGTTCTTGGTTGCCAAATCTAAATTAATATACTCAAGTAAAAGAGAGGAAGAAAAGCAGGAAAACTAAAATTCTGACAGACCGAGTGGTTCAGGAAACCAGCAACAGGAATTAAGCAGGTCCTTAGCTTTCCATCACTGAACATAATCTTCATGCTGTTGGAGTACCAGAGCTCACAAGCCCAGAGAAACTGCTCCCATGTATAAAGCTCTGGTGGAAATACGTCAGGATAATTCTCATATAGGACAGGAAATAACTGTTCATATTGGTTACGTAAGTGCTGCAACGACATAGGAAACAAACAGAAATCATTCACAAAAACGTAACAAGAAACGCTTACTGACAATTCAAATTCATGGAGGTCAGTGTTGCAATATTCTCGCCTATATGCCACAATGAAACACTTTCATTCAAAATTTCTGTAACTTCATCCTAAGACACAGATTAATGCCATTTTTCATTACTGAAATAACAACAGAGGTAACAGTGTTAGTTCAATGAATCAAGTCCAGAAGTTAGAAAGACTTCACAAAGACTAAAGTTAACTTGGGATAGATAGAGGTTTCATATTAACATTGTACTGGAGAAATTTGAAGAAAAGGCTTTGCACAAGAAAGTTTAGTGCATGATAGTTTCAATTCCACATATTTTTTCCATTCTTTTTTAAATGTGATTTATGCTTGGGTTCACTTGTGCATGCAACGAAGCAATCATCAAATAAATCTCCATAGAAGAATCAACTACATGCATTAATCTAAATAACTCCATAAAATTCTAAAAGTGATTATGCTGTTTAATCAATATGCATGTAGAATTAGTTATCAAGAAACACACTAAGCAAGCCTAAAAGTTTGCTGACTGAAAATAGATTGAAAGGGAGATAACCTCTTTTGCTTGTACTATCTCTTCCAATAAGATAGTTCCATCTAAAGCCATGATGGCATTGACCCCAAAGCTCAATCCTGTACATGTAGATGCATTATGAGAATCATGTCAATGAAAGGGTGAAATTGAATGCATAGTTGAAATTAGGACTTGAAATATTATAGCCAGAAAACTTTAGGCAATTATGTAGTTCAAGAAACTTAATAAAGTAGACATGAATACAGAAGTTTATAAAGAAAAAGAAACCTGTATTAAACACTGCAGGCAACGTATCGAAATATAACTTGAAATTGGAATCGCTGTTGTGTTTCTCCTTCATGCTCCATAACAATAGCATTGTCTCTGAAGAAATCCCCTCAATTTTCTCCAATATTGGAAACTGCCTTAAAAGTACAAATGACTAATGACATCACTACATATTTTAGATTCTGGCTGCAAAGTTTAAACAGTAGTTAATAGCTCAACTGGAATAAAATGTGAAGTTGACAAAGAGAACTTAAGCAGAATGGCTTCTACACTGTTGACAGAAAAGTTGCTGTTGCACCATATGATGATTTAGTTTTTGCAGAAAGAAAATTCCAGCACATACAAGTCCATCAGGCAAGAGAAATTATGTTTCACAAGATGCATATTTAAGAGAAGAAAAAGCTTCTGCTAAAGATGCACATCAACAATAGGGCTTAAAAGTGCAAAATGTACCATGCCAGTTTCAAAAACCAGGTTCTCGGAAATGACCAAAGACACAGGGACCTCTAGAGCAATGTCCCCAATTTTCAGATCTTCTTTAGCGATAGCTCCTCTTCCAGCTCCTTCAACATCTGTACCGTCAATAAAAAAGTGAAAATACATAACCCTATATAAAATTTTCAACTTCCTAACTTCCATGATATATACAACAAAATTCTAGCTGTGAAACACAGTGTTCCAAAGATGATTCGATAATGTTGGAAAAAATTCAATGGCTAATTATGGCAAAACCTTACAAGCTATCTCCAATTTTGTGTGGAGACCATTACTTTTGCCCCACTGCAGTAGACATTCCTCTTTTTCACAACTGGAGTCTTGAACAACTTTAGTTTCCTCTCCATACTTGTGCCCAAGTTCATCTATCATATTAACTGTTGCATTGCGTATCTCTTGCAGTGAATTTTTATTCTTGACTTTACCATTGGAAATTGAACAATCAATGAGTCTAAGAACAGAATGTAGAGCTTCCAACTCATGCCTTGGACTATTAAAACCCACCAGATTAGCGAAATCTGCTCCCCCAAAATACAGTTCAATCTGCAACATAACATGTACATTGATATAGTGTCAATCGCTTGCACTTAGAAAATGCATTTGGGGTAGTGTGTAGTATGATGTTGCTCAAGAGAAGGCTTGGTCACATAATTTGATGAAACAAAATTGACAGATGACAGTAACTGAAGTTCCAAAGATGACTTCACACACAAAAATGGACTTTAGACTATACCAAGTTTCGAATTGAAAAAAATTAAATATTTGCTTCATCCTTAATGAAATCCTAAGAAAATATTCATAAATGACATTCAAACAAGCAGCTGCTCTAAAACATTTCTGGATAGGGGATTATCTACCCATATTACAATCACCTTGAATGTCTAAGGCAAAAGCTTGGTAAGTGCATCAAGTACTGAAAAAGTTATAGTTTCCACCACAAGATTGAAAAATCAACCAGGATGACAGTTCATAGCAGAGCATTTCAGTGGTTGACTCCTGGAAGCTAAGGCAAAAGTAACTTGTAGATACATAAAATATAGTTGCTTGTAATAGAGTCCTGTGAAGGAAATAGCACAAAAGATTACCTCATTCAAGTTTATGATTCTGGCACGCTTAAGCATCATGTCCAGGACATGCTTCAAGTGATCAGGATTGGAGGCAATATTCAAGGCAACACTTCCCTTTGGATCAAAGCCTACGTCTTCCAGTAATTTCTGTCACATGCTAAGAGTAAAATTAAAAAGAAAAGGAGAAAAATCATAATCATTAACCAAACACTCATTATGAAGTTCTTTTTTTTTTCCTTTCTTTTTTTCTTGGGCAAGGGCGCGGGTGCCTATTTATAAGGGTGGGAAATGTGCTACAAAAAAAAATGCAAACCTTTTTCTTCTGGAACAAAGGATCATTCTCAGAAAGATCAAGAACAAATGAGATCTCATCATCAGTCTCTGCAGTATTGGGGGATATATACGCCTTCACAATAAAAGAACAGTAGAAAAGTAAGTTAATTTCCAACCTAAGCAACAGCAAAGACACCCACTTCACATGTAAGAAGTAATTAATTCACACCTATTGGTTAAAAACAGAAAAAAAAATAAGGGATGAAGGGAGAGATGGAATTGCAGAATAGCCCTATTTACTCCTTTTCCATGATGGAAATCTGTTTTTATCACTTTTTCTCTCATCATTAGCGTTCTGGCACTTCCCTTGCAGTCCACTTCGTCTTTCAATACAATCAAAACAAATTCTGGATTCATTACATATGCACACTTGCATTTGTAAGTTACCAAAAAATGGCACGTTTACTTAAGGTTTCACTAACTAGATACACCATATAATACAGCTTCCACTTTGTTATAAGGAAACGAATAAGGTTAAGCAGGGAAGATATTAGATTAATAAGAAACGATGACTATCTTTAGGGGGAAAAAAAAACAAGGATGATTTCACCGTAGCATACCCTCTGGGCCATCATTCAATGAACATCTAGACTGGACTACAACCAAGAAATCCCCCATAACTTCTGAAGAAGCTTTTTTACAGTTAGCCCGTTTGTAAATAATTCACGAGGTCAAAGAGGCAGCTCTACTTTTTCCCATTTTATGAACTATTGGATACTGGACATGTCTATATTGAATCAAGAATTAAAGGGATGAATTTAGGTGCTGAAGTTACCTGGTTAACCTCCATTAAAGCCAATTGGATGGATTAGTCCAGCGAATGGAATTGATGACTGGTAAGCCAGCAAAACTGAAGAGGCTGTGGCCGGAAACTGGGGAGCTGGGGTTTTAGTGAGGTTTCTGAGTAGGCAACTTGTTTGAGTACTCCCTCCCGAGAAAACAACTGTTTCCAGTACTTTTTTTTCCGGACGGTCGGTTATAATCTACCCTACACCTACTTCTACTATAGCTTATTCGAGGGGCTCAACTGAGCCAGTGAAGAGATCGATGGGAGTTAAGCTACCATCAAATTAAACCTACTTCTATTCCTACTCTAACCTATTTTAGAGGATTCAATTGAGTCAATAAAAGGGGTCGATGGAAACTGAATCGCCGTTGAATCAATCGGATGCACTACATACCTGTTTAAATTTTTTAGATAATCACGCAATATGACAATCGGTGGTGGACTTGGTGGTGGCTCCTAACTTGTGGTTAACTGTTTCTAGTACTAGGATGTAAGAACTAAAAGTTAATAAAAGTTGGAAAAACAGGAAATTATAAAAGCAACGACATTGGATATATTATGGAGTTTGTTCTCATTGTATCAAACTTCTTGTTAACTTTTGTTTCCCCTTACGTCTTAAGATTTCAAGTTTAATCAGTCTCCAAAATCGTTGTTAACTTATTATCCAATAGTGAAATTTTTTCACTTCAATTAGATGATGCTTATTCCTTTATTTATTTTTTTTTTGAGGGAGTGCTTATTCCAGTTCAATTCATTGACCAAACGAAGTAATATATACATATATGTGTGTGTAGATATAGATATATGTATTATATGTATACGTGTGTGTATGTATTGTGAATCTATTTTGCAATTTGGGAATTCATTTTTGTTAACTGTTTTTTTGATGGTAACATTTTTCTTCTTCGTAAATAGTTTTTGGTGATAGTAAATAGATTACGACAAAATAGAAATGCAATGATTCACTACATCCTCAAAGGCAAGCCATTGGGATTCTAATGGGCTCATCTCTTTGTAAAATGCGGATGTGTTGTTTAACTTTCAGTTGGGCCATTCAGAAAAAGCAATCCAGCACATGGGCTGAGCAAACAGTTTTAAAATTAGCGCTTAGCCAAAATTCTCAGCCATTCTGTAGCTTTTCTTCATAAGCCAATTGCAAATTTCTCTTCTTCTTTTTTCCCCTTTTTGAGCAGCCAACTGTTAATTTCTTTCACGTCTAATTTCAGAATTTGAAGCCTGAGTCCAGACCTTGTAATTATTCCTTTATGGCTCCAGCACAATCTATCAGTTCCGAACTAGAACCCAACTGAGTCCCCTTTTTTTTCCCTTCAAGTTCAAAGGGATGCTCAAACCTTACACAAGAGAAGAGGAGAGTGGAAAAAAAAAAAAGAATGTTTGAAAGTCGAACCAAGAACCTCACAATTATCAAAATAATATTCCTACTAGTTAAATTTGGTCACAAGGACAACTTTGCTGAGGCCCTTCTTGTTATTCCACTTTCATGACAAAGTTGAGGAAGTCCAATAGTCACAACCAATGGAGCGGTATGGTGCTATAGAAGTGGCTCTAACTCTGTTCGACGTAATATTCGTTTGCCCACGCAAATTTGGATTGTTATTTTTTTAAATAAAAAAAATTATATTTTTCAGTTATTTTTTCACCTCAAATACATTAAATCGTTACGGTATATTTTTTTTTAATAAAAACTTTAGAAAATAGCTCTGCAAAGGGGTCTTAGTTTCTACGCCTTCAGCTGATAATCACTCAGATAGGGATGGTCCATGCCAGATGTACGGAAAAATTGGTACATGCACTAGCCTAACCACTTCTGAACTAAAATGCATGCTTAGATGTAAAGTGTAGTCGAAGTGGAATTACATTCCGTATTTATCACTGTTATTAACAATATATTACTGTCAGTATTCAGTCAAAAATCTTTCTCAGCAAGCGAAGAACCTCCAATGTAATTGGAGATCCAGGACCATTCAATCATCTAGTAGGGAATTAGCTCCAAGAAGTAGTTGGGGTAATTGAAATATATATATATATATATAGCCTAAGTATATGCTTAACAGGATAGATTCAACATAATTGTACTGATTTTCATGCTTGTGAATCCAATAGCTTTGCTGACTTATCAACATATTCTTTCTAGTCAAAGATCCTTGTCTCCAACTTCAAAAAGCAGCCTTGCCATTTGCACGAGAGATACAAAGGGCACCAGCTAAAAGCTTCTAGCGATGCATGAAAAATGGGGGTGGACACTTTTCAAAGCGTGATCAAACTTGGTAATTTTTACTATTGGATGATGGAACCATAAGACCCATATACCCAATCGATTTATTTTAATGTTAGTAAAATAAATGTTGGGCCTGTACTCGGTTGCTCCCTTGTTTGGAAAGCCATTTTTCACCAAAAAAAAACAAGTTTTATGTTTTTCGTAAACACGTTATTCAATCAATTTTTTACCTTACATATATCAAAAATCACATTTTCTATAAAAACTCTAGAAAATTGCAACCGAAATAGGTTTTTTCGGTTATGTCAAATTGACCATCAAGAAATCTGATGAAAAACAAGATCCGGAGAATACATCAGATTAATTTTTTGAAGAGCAAGGGGTTGCTGACCTTGTAATCATTTATTTCTTCCTCTGTTGTTCTTTTAGTACGGTTCTGTTTGGATTAACTGTTTTTGGAGTGTTTTGAAATATTTTATTGTAGTAATGTAGATTGAAAACTTTTACTGTAGATGAGATTGTTTTTGATATTTTTGAGGTTGTTTTTTCTATTTTGAGGTGTTTTTGACGTTGTTTTTGGTGTTTCTTAAATTGTTTTTATTTGTGTATTATTGTAGCATTATATATAAAAATTTTGTTCTTAAAAAAATGACTAATCCAAACGGAGCCGTAGATGAAACAAGCTTAAATTGAAGCACAAGTCGCAAGCAAACAAGAATATTTCAAAATAGTGTTTCACTTTAAAAAAAAGCTATAATTATATTAGGATGATAAATAATTGTGAAAGAAAAAAGGTCGTCCAACGTCTATAAAAGTAAAGTATCAATTACCTTTCTCTAGAAATTTACTCCAATAGTTTTTGGACAAATATTTAATTTCATGATCTTTGGAGAGTTAAACATCTGAATATTGTGAGGTGGGTGCTCAAGAGTGAGAAAGGATTTGTCTATTCAATAGGTGCTTTTCTCAGGTGGCTCACTGGACTCAAAAAAAGAACCAGACAATCAATTTATACTATTGTAAAGAATATTTAACTTTCCTCCAAAAAGCAAATAGAGACAAGTATTTCAAAAGGGTGGATTACAAATAAAGTAAAGTATCCGAGTGAAAATGTGGCAAATACATTGTTTGGTTCGGAAAAGGATGTTTTCTGTCTTTAGCAAGTCAAGGCTATCTTAAGCCATCACAGAAAGTGATTACTATGTCCTCCTCACGTGGATAAATATACGACGTACGGAGTTGGGATTACGACACCGTTGTTTGGTTCAAAATGTATTTCGATTGGTCAGAATTTATTCTTCAGTCTTTAAGCATTACACGACCCGGAACAAAAGATCAAGAAAAAGACAACAACAGCAACAATTTTGCATAAACTAAAATATCAGAGCGACCCTCTTTTGTGGACTTTCTAAAAGTTCCAAGAAGAAAGCAACTGATAAATTGGATCTTGACTATTCGTTCAAATGAACAACAGTTTTGTTTTATTCCTTATATCTCTTGGTGCTATAACTTTTCTTTTTTTTCCCTTCACAAAAACAAAAAAAAAAACTTTTTATAAGTTGATGATTAATATACAATTATCTAGAAAAATGATGGATTGAATGATATGGAAGGAGAAAGTGTAACCGAGAAATCTTAAATTTAAAATCTCCTATATATATATATATATATATATATATATACATGTGTGTGCGCGCGTATATGTGTACTTAGTAGTTATCTGGCTCGATTGTTACTCTCAAGATGCCTCACAATTTGCCTTCAAATATATACAAAACTTATGTCATATAAATTGATTAATATACAGCTACCGAGAAAAAGATGAGTTGGACAGTACAGGAAAAAGGAGTGTAAATGAAAAGTTTTGGAGGTATTGGATTTAAGACCTCTTCCTTATCAAATATATATATATGTATATCATATGAGAAATTATGGTTATTAATAACAAGAGTACGGAAGCCGACAAGTGATTCAAACTCTTAACCTTTCCAAGTGTATTTCTTTGATTTTATTCTTTTTGAAGAAAAGAAAATTTGATCGCCATTGACTGTCTGTGAGAATACCATTGATTAAACAAGTGAAGAGAAGTGGTGCCCTTTCTTTGCCATATTTTATGCAGCTGTTACTTATCTTAGGTCTTTCTTTACCACAATAAACGTATTGAATACTTTCGATCGATTGGGGAACTTTCGTACACGAATCAAATTTTGCAATTGAATGGCCAGCATCGCATAAAATCGAACCTTTTTGTTGCATGGATTCTCACCCTCTAGATGGGCTGTTGATTGGTTTCCACTGAAAGTGGAATGATTTCCAACTTTATTGACTAGAAAATATTAACACCAGGAATCGAAGAACATTAAGGTTAGAATGTGGAAACCGAAAAGAAATCTGGTGGGAGGAACAGAAAAAAAAAAAAATCTAAACCAAAGAGAGCTAAACTTTGGGTGGAACCGTGCAAGCTCTTACGTTAATTTCATGGCTTAACATGCATGGTTAGGGCTGGACAAGATCAAGCAACAAAATCTAACCAACATTCAATGGATATATACCATATTGCCTTACCCTGGGGATTCCTCCCTAGTCCCTAGTCCCTACCACCAAAGAAGTTGCTAAAAAGTCATAACGTACGTATCTTATTAGAGAGGTCCGACTACTGGGATAATAGAGATTGAATGGTTTGAAAACCAAAACATCGTTTTCATTCTTTGGTATATATTTAACCTCCTTTTTTTTTTTTTTTTTTCCCTTTATGGGTGTTTAGAAAAATTGCTGTCCAAACAAGGCCTGAGTCTTTACCTTGCCTCGCCAAACTAAAATACTTCTTGTTCTTTGAGCAATATATATGTTTTCCGTTTGGTTCTACTAGCTAAAGATTATAGTTAAAAAACAGAAGGGAGAATTAGACAAATCATGCAATGCATTAATTCCTGGCTTACACATTAAAGGGGTTGAATGTTAAAAATTGGTCGGTAATAGGTCAATTTCTGAATAATTGATCTACTGCTACTTAATTGTCATGAACTCAATAAAGGAAATGTGAAAACAGAGAGAATCGTGAAATGACAATGTCGTGGCTAATCACCAATGAGGCAGTTTGGGCCAAGCAATAATGAAATTAAGACCGTGTGCATGGGAAATGACAAACAGAAAGCTTACATAGGAGTCAATTACTATCAACCCAATCTATTGGCCGGCAATTTGAGGTAAAATCTCATGTCACTTCTGTTTATGGAGGTTTTCCATCCCCAATAATTTATGGAGGTTCGGACCTTCACTTTCTTTACTTTTACTTGGCTCCCTTTTTTTTTTTTTTTTTTAAAAAAATGGTTATATTATTCTTGACTAGAAAACGATTTAACGTGTGTAGCTCCCTTCGAAAGTGTTTTGTTCGGTTCAAAGAAGGCTCCCAAGCTTATAGGAATAAGCAGAAAGAGGAAGATTTGAGAATTGAACTAGATCTTTCGGATCACTTAGATAATGTACTGTGACTAGGTTAGGTGAGTTGGGTCTTGGGGACCAAAACTCTTACGAGTAACCATTAGAAGACTTTCGTTACAACTCTTTAGGAGAGATTTAAAAAAAAAATTAGAGGTTTGAATTCAAGACTTATAATTATAGATGCCGTGTTTTTTGACTCAGATAATATAATACATTTTATGGTTTGACGTAAATCACCTGAAGGTGAAAATAAGTATAAACTTTGGGCATATCAAATTGAGTGTGATTTATATTTGTCAAACTCGAACTTGAGTGAGAAGATAATTAAACTTTTAATGTAAAACTCAACCTCAACTCCAACTGAAGTTGAGCCAAACTAAGTTGAAATTACAACAAAGTAATAATTATGATATTTTTAAATTGGATAGGAGAGTCATTTTATTCTAATAAATAATCAAACTATGAGGATATACATGTAATTTCACTGCTAATAGAATAGCCATTCAAAATATATAGCCTCGAGCCAGATCCACGGGTCACCAAGCCTAGTATCGAGATACATAAATTCAACTCAACATTCTCAACAATTTAATTTTAACTTTGACAGAGTCGGCTTGATTCGTTTGCAGTACTAAAATAACCTAGATTTATATGAACAAATGAGAAATAATTCTCAAGTTTCATTAGATCAATCCACATTAAACACAACTCAATAATTTAAGCAGCAAATCATTGAGCATACAGTTCGGAGATGTAATTGCACACAATCTCATCCCAGTCATGTTCCACGGTCAATGACTCAATATACTGTTCATGCAACCGACCCTACTAAAACTCCACTTTGCGGGTGATACAAACAAAAGAACTGAGAAAAAGCGGATTTCTTTCGCGTTCAGCCTCATAAAAAAAAAAAAACAAAAAAAGAAAGAAAGAAAGACAGGTCTTTATTTATTTTAGAAGTAGCTGTCAAGTACGTCGGCGATTATACACCGGACTCAAATCGGAAAATGACAATCGGCCTTTCCAACTCGTAACAAAGTCCCAAGAAATAAAAGAAGACGTCAATTTTTGTCATCATAATAAGAAGACTTTTCAAGCCGCTTTTGTTTGTAAATCTTTCTTTTACCCAACAAGAAATCTTCGGATTTGCTTGTTTGTTCCTACTTTTTTCGTTCATATTGTAGCGTAATTATTATGACCCCTCTAATTCTATCCATTCAAACAGTTGTCTGTTTTTCTACTTATGTATCCTTGCTTTGCTTTTTCAAAAAATGCTGGCCAGACAAAATTAAAAGCCTTCGGTTTTTCTGTGGCTGGTTCCCTTTTGGCTTGCATTCAAATTGTGGTGGTAGTACATTTTCCTTTGCATCTCTATTGGCCCCCTTTTTGGAATTTTTGGCTGTACAACGTCTTTTTTTTGTTTTCCCATTTGCCACATATTTAATCACGAATTGATGCAATTGATAAAATCCTTAAATGGGAGGGGAGGGGTGGATACAAATTAGTCAGAGATGAGATCAAATTAAGTTTTTTTTTTTCAAAAAAAAAAAAAAAACAGGCAGTCGGTGCTTGGTGTTTTAAAAGTAAAATTAGCTACAGGAGTTGAGTTCAAAATTTGTGTGTTAAAAACAAGATTAGGGCATGCCAACTTAGAAAAAGTCTAGTTGAAAAGGCAACAAGTCGTTAATTAGGTTCTCAAGAAATACGACCAATGAAACATTCATTGCGTAAAAATATATTATTATTATTATACTATTCCTAATGCTAATCTACTTTGTACTGCATTTTCAAGATATGCATCCAACTATCCTGAAAACGAAATGAAATGAAGTGGGCAAGTAGTTAAAGTAGCTACATCATCAATCTCCCCCAAAGCCCCACAACCCACAAGCCACCACCCAAGGGGTATTCACCGGAAATTGGATATTAGGGTTCATGATTGATTGTCCAAAGAAGTTTTGATCCTAGTTGATTTTGAACAGGAAACACGAAAAAAAAATAATAATAATAAACACAGGATAGCAATTGGAATGGATTGTTGGCTTCATTTATTTACCGACCTATTATAAATGCCATGCCATCCAACCCACAGCAGTGAGCAGACCAGTAGTGTCATTTACTGATGATCAGGCTTGAAAACATACCGCACGTTTGGAATAGAAAGAATAAAGCCGAAAGAATGAATGTCCAAATAAATATTAATGGCTCTTCTCTTCTCTTCTTTGGATACATCAAAAAACCCCCATGTGCCGGCAGGTGTACTCTGCATCACATCCAGCTAACATTGGTGCAAGTACACAAAAAGTAAACACAGGAGGATCTCTGATTTAGTGGGTATCTTGTACTCCTCCTCCTGTGAACCCCGCACACACACACACACAAGTGTGTGTATACATTGCTAGTTAGTAGAGTATTACATTGTAACATACATACATTGGTCATTGGCCGGCCAGCTGCTCTATTATGTATGGCGCATGATATGATGATCGTTCGGTTGGATGCTATCAATGGTGGTGGGAACCAGAATGGGATGACAGAAACCAAGCCAATATAGCCAAACACTGCACATGCACATTTGTGCACGCATGAAACATACAGTATTCAGAGGTTCTTCATTATTTGCGCTAAGCAACAAAGATGGACAAAATAAATAAATACTAGTATGAGCTTTCTTTGCCGCATTACCAATTTTCCCAAGTCCCCCCCCCCCCCCCCCCCTGAATTTTTGACTCATTCATATGCAATTTCAAGATAATCTTTGTCCATTTCCTAAAATAATCCCTCGTGAGTCAAGAGAATGTCCCCCCCAAAAAACATAAACAAAAGAAAAAAAAATGCATCAATTGTGTGATACTACTACTTTAATTGTTCTTCTGATCATCATTATTCTGATCACATTTGTTACAACTTTCTTGCAATTCACCATCATCATCTTCTTCTTCTTCCTCTTCTTCTTTTGGACTATCCAAAGCCCTTTTCTCCTGCTCCTCATCTTCCACCACTGTACCATTCAACCCCCTTGATTTCTTCTCTGCCCTCAGCTTCAAAGCCTCCAAAAGCTCCCAAACAGCTCTTTCCTTGTCACGCCTGTTCTTAATCAACACCTCACTTATATCTGCCGGTGTCATTTCAGCCTTATCCATCACTTGTTTGAACTCTTCCTCCAAATCCCTCTCCAAATCGCCATCATTGTACCCCAAATAATTCTTCAAGAGAATCTTCAATGCCGGAAAAGAACAGTAACTCATGAAGACATGCATGTCCATCCTCCCACTCCTCAGCAAGGCAGGATCAAGCTTCTCGATATGATTGGTAGTGAAAACAAATATCCTCTCGCTCCCACAACAAGACCACAATCCATCTGTAAAATTCAACAACCCTGAAAGAGTAATCGAATTCCCACCCTCCTCCCCACCATTACTAGTCCCCGGGGGCGAAACGTCAAAATTGTTACTCCTAGCACCACCAGAATTAGCAGCGCCTCCGCTCTTCTTCCTGTTAGTCAAATTAATTGAACAATCAATATCTTCAATCACAATAATGGATTTTGAACTGGTTTTCATCAACAATTTCCTCAGCTCCGAATTGGTATGCACCTCAGTCAACTCCAGATCGTAAATGTCATACCCCAAGAAATTTGCCATTGCAGCAATCATGCTAGACTTCCCCGTCCCAGGTGGTCCGTACAACAAATATCCCCTCTTCCAAGCCCGGCCAGTCCTCTGATAAAATGCTTCCCCATTAGCAAAATCTTTAAGATCAGCCATGATTTCGGCCTTTTTGATCGGATCCATAGCTAGCGTGTCAAAAGTGCTAGGATGCTTAAAGGGTACGGACTCCCAAGGATGGCCTCGGGAGTCAAGTGACCCTCCACGTGAATTGGTGTAAAGCAACCGATCTTGATTATTCCTACGTATTTCGCTAGCTTTTTCCATGACAAAATCTAGGTAAGATCCCAGAATAACCGACTTATCCTTCTTCTTCACGCGCAAAGTGAAGCCCCGCTTTTCTTCGGGCAACGGCCGCCAAGAAAATGTCTGGGCTTGTCTCTGCGTGACTATGTGTTCCCACAGAACCGTCACGCCCTCGTAGTTGTCCATGAGGCGGTCGTTGTTGGACAGCCCGAAGGTGATGGCGCTGGAGTTGAGCCCGCGAGTGAGGCTCAGGCGGTTGCCGGTGATGGAAGCGGAGCTGCTGAGGTACAGCTGGACGGCGTTGTAGAGTTCGTTGGTGTTGACGCCGTCGATTTCTGTGATGTCATAGTAGCAGTAGGCTGAGAACCAATTGAAGAAGCGGTGGAAGAGTTTGAGGGATGCAAAACGAAGCTCCGGTGGGAAAACTGTGTGGAGAATGCTTTGGAAAAATGCCCATACCCCCATTACTGATGCTAGAGTTGTCCAAAATTCCTTCATTTTTCTTTCCTTTTTGGGCTCTCTTTTTATCAATGCGAACGAGGAAGATGGAGGGTGGGTTTGTATGGATTTTGATAGAAGGGTTTTGCAAGATTTATAGGGAGGAGAAATGGGATGGGGTATTTTTTATTTTATTTTTTACTTTTTTTTTTTTGGGTTTTGGGTGGGGGAATTGGTTGGTTGGGGGATTCTCGAAGCTGTGGCTGAGACTTGAGAGGGGTCGACGGGAGGGGATGCGGGTGCGGGGGAATAAAGTAGAAAAGGGTGTAAAACGGTGAAGAGAGCTTTTAAGAAATTAATGAGTGAGATGAAGGAAATTAATGGAAATGAAGGGGTTTGAGCTCGAGGAGTTTAGAGTTGGAGGAGTTTTTAAAGAGTATTGAGTGAGTGGGCTGGCGATTGAGTGAAAATTTTAAGTAGTACAAGAAAGACAGCAGTGAGAGAGAGAGAGAGAGGACTAGAAAACAAAAAGGATTTTTGATGGTTGATTTGGAGAAGATATCGGAGAAGCACAGAGATGGATTTGGGGTCTAGGTTAGGGTCGTAGCCCTCTAGGGTTGGAATTTAGCGATGTACAAATTCCAATGGGATTTTTTTTTTTTGGGAAATAATTGTTTGGGTTGAATGAATCCTTTGCTATTAAGTTTTCTTGCACCCTATAATGGAAAACTTGAACCGGCTTCTGCCAGATTGTGAAAGGAGAGGGATGTTATATCAAGGTCTTTTGGAAAGGGACAATGGAGAGGGGAAGAGGCCATCAGACCACACGTATTTCACTCTGAATTGCCGACTTGTGAATAGTTTCCCTCCCGGACAGTAGTACGTTGCAGTAGTAACTCAAATTTGATTACTAGTTTTTTCCAACCAAACGGGCTTTGGTCCAATGGATCCGGAATTCAAATCCCAACTTAGTAGTAGCTTATTACAAGTGCAATACTAAGCATATTTGCCTGTCTGATTTAGAGATTCACCTCCGTTGAATCAGCTCGAGTTGGACGCCCTCTCCCTTATATATATAAGTGAAGTGTAGTTTTTGTCGCTGGCCATTTGGTCCAGTGGTCATCACCTTAATGGTGATGCTGGAGGTTTTGTCACAATATGTGGCTGGTTTTAGTTGCCCATTTTCCTTACCCCTTCCCTTAGATTAGGTTAGAATAGGTTATAGGACATCTATTGTTGCGAAAAAAGAAGAAGAAGTGTAGTTTGTTGTCTTTAGATTCGTTAAATTAAAAAAAGGACTTTTCCTTTGGTGTTTTTAAATTTTACTAATAAATTTTTCTACTCATTGAAAAGAAATTTGAACAAGTTTGCATCATTTACTACGTCATAGTGAGAAAAAGATAATCAGACTTACGGACGGGCAATGAAAAAAGGGATAATTTCAGAAACCTCCCCTGAGGTTTCTGACACTTTCACTGACATCCCCTGAGGTTCTCAAAATTTCACTTACCTCCCTTGATAAAAAATTGGGCCCCTTTTCTGACGTCATCAGGGCCAAAATTACAGATATATCCCAAGTAGTTGGGGTTAATTACTACCGTTTATGTTTAAGTTACATAATGAATTTTCTTATTCTTTACGTACCTATTCTTGTCATGCAAGATTACACGCCTGACTTCAAATTACGTACTTTGCAAGAAAATGTCTGTGGAGTCATTTGTTACAAGACAAGAAGTTCAATCAAATAAGAACAATTTATGTACACAGGTGGGATTGGGAATTCAAGCTTGTCCTTTTTGGTATTTAGGATAATGTTTTTATATGAACTCAAAGAAGATGGATAGCCTATTTTGCAAGGTTATTAGGTAATTTACCTTTGTGGAATTCTTGATATCAAGCCATTTGATTGCTAATGTGGACATGTGGCTTAAGCGCGTAATAAGTGCCATGGATTCGAAGTTCGGCTGAAATATCACATATCGAACGAAGTCTTTATTAGAAACCTAATTAGAAACCTATTAGAGTTCAGTGAGCTCTCGTACTAAGCTCCACCGCCAACCCTCCATTTCGAAAAAAAAAGACAAAAGCAAAACAAAAGCAAACACACGAAGCGCAGAATAACGTTGAAACCCGCAAGCGGGATTATGTGTTTTTTCTATTTCAAGGTTAGCTCGCATGCGGGTTAATGTTATATTTGAGCGCGAGAAGAAAAAATTGGTAATTAGGCTCTTTGGGCATTATAAGTAAATATTTAAATTAATGGTAGTTTTATTACACCAATATTATTGTATTATCATTATTATGATTATTGTATTATTTCTTATGCAAATATAACATTTAATTATTTAAATTTGATTTTATTTTTACAATTTATAAAATTTTTATCACTTATATAATATTTTTAAAACCCTAATACATCTAAATTTGATTTTATTTTTCAAATTTATAAGATTTTTATTTAAAAAAATGGGATACGGATAAGATATCCGGTTGGTTCGATTTGCATAGGTGCATATGAGAATATCCGAATACTCCTGAAACCCGCAAGCGGGATTCTGTGTTTTTTCTATTTCAAGGTTAGCTCGCATGCGGGTTAATGTTATATTTGAGCGCGAGAAGAAAAAATTGGTAATTAGGCTCTTTGGGCATTATAAGTAAATATTTAAATTAATGGCAGTTTTATTACACCAATATTATTGTATTATCATTATTATGATTATTGTATTATTTCTTATTCAAATATAACATTTAATTATCCAAGCAGTTTGATTTTATTTTTACAATTTATAAAATTTTTATCACTTATATAATATTTTTAAAACCCTAATACATCTAAATTTGAATCTAATTTTCTACAAGTCATACTTATAAATGCGAAATCTAACAAAAAAGTTAAATACAATTTTTGCAGGTCAAATTTAACAAATGCGAGCTATTTGCAAAATTTTAAATATTTGCAACATTTTTTAAAACAAAAAATTAGAAGCTTTCTGCAAATAATTCCCTACCTCTCAAAAAATACCAAAATAAAAAAGATAAGAGCTCGCATTTGCTTCCTAGAAATAATTCCCTAGCTCTTAGAAAAGGAAAAAAAAAATTGAGAAGAGCTCGCATTTGTGGAATGCGAGCTCAATAACCAGAGCTCGCATTCCACGAATGCGAGCTCTTGTAAGCTCGCATTTGTGAAATTCACAAATGCGAAGACCCCCCTGACGGAAATTAAACCCAAAATCACCCCTTTTGTAGAATTTTTTTAAAATTCATCACAAAGTTGGAAATTTCTCAATAGAAATACAACTTGTCTGGATTCCTTTCACTCTCTGATATCATTACGGTTGCTTTGCGATTACAGCGGCAAAACCTGTTTTTAATGGAGAAAGATGTAGGTGAATTCCATGATTCTCCCCTATGGCTTGAAGAGGCCATGGTTGCAGCTAAAACTTTTTACTCAGAGCTCTAATTGTAGCACAGCAAATGCACTTGTTATCACTCCAAATTAGTAGCAAAGAATGTTAATAGCTTGAAACCTCAGAGGTAGTTAAGTTGCTTTGCTTTATATGCTATTGCTACTGAAACAGCAAACCTTCTGGCGTTGCAATTTGCAGCTAGCCGTTGCAAAATCTGCCAAATAACTGTTGCATGGCACATCTGGTGCATGCAATTTTTTGTATTGCACTTACCCCCCTCAACTTTACTAATTAGTCCAAATCATTTATTCTTCTTTGAATCTTCTACTAATACAACTTCTGCAAAGGGTAGCTATGGAATAAAAATACCTTCTCACACATGAAAATAATATTTTAATCTGATTTGGACTGGATTGTTACCACAAAATCAAAAGCAAGGGAGGTAAGTGAAATTTTGAGAACCTCAGGGGATGTCAGTGAAAGTGTCAGAAACCTCAGGGGAGGTTTCTGAAATTATCCCATGAAAAAATTTACAGGGAAAAAAAGGGACAAGAAAGTCAGCATGATCGTACACAATTGGAACAACACGCACGCATGAAAATGAAGTAGGTTCATTGGATTTTAAATTAATTGCTTGAGTTTTTAGGATTTACCACATTCACCCTCGGGGTATGTAATGTGATTCAATCCCTATCACAAATTGTACCAAAATATTCTGTTGAGATGCATTATGAACATTGAAGAGGAATGTTACTTGGGGAAAACATATGACAATCATTAATTACATTTTCTCATCACCATTTTATTTTTTCCAATTTTCTTATTATTTCATATATATATATATATATATCATATTATAATTACAAATACTGTGTTTGGTTTATACATTATTTACACAGATTAACTTGCTTGTATCATTAACACATTTTTCAATTACTTTTTTATTTCACGTATATTACAATAAAAAAAAAGCGCTACAATATTTTTTTAAAAAATTATACTACCAATTAATCTCCTGTCCAAACACAATTGTTACTGACTCATCGAGTCTTTGAAATCACTTACTTCCTCTTTGGTCTTCTCTCCACTCCAGCCGCCCAAAAAGAGAAAAGACAATCAATCATGTAACATATTTATTAAATGCAGAAGAGAACTGAAAGTGGGCATTGGAAGCAGATTTCTAGTCCATCTTGCCATTAGTCAGATTGCATGAATGAATGAATCAACAAAAACATTAATGCTACTACATTCATCAAAAGTGCCAACTTTGATAATTTCTCGCCTACCAAAGTTGGTTGCTAACTCGATAACCCCTCCTACTGTTGCTTGGCGCAGTAAGTATAAAATCCTAAAGCAGATTGAACTGAAAATGGGCGGGGTTCAAGAAAGAAAGAAATACCCTTGTATCATACTCATATCATCCATCCCCAAGAAGAAGATTTGGTGATGATTCTATTTTGGTCTTTTCTTGATATTTGCCGCTGCCTCTGGCTTGTGGGGTTCTTTTCTATTTTGGATCTATGTTTAACCAGGTGTATTATGTGGGCATATACTCTAAATCCTGAAAATAGGCATTAGATAGACCCCATCTGCAGCACATTAATAGAGCAGTTTTGCCTTACTATGATGATGGTTGATGAGCTCCGTGCAGATGCATCTGAATTCTGACCTGTCTGAAACGTCTCAGACAAACGCCTGCTAGGGACCTTGGTTTTAGAAGCTAAGTACTACAACTGGATATTAATTTTAATTAGGGGGAGGTAGGTAGGTAGTTAGTATTTGTGATCATTAGTTTATCTGTTACTAGTAAGTTGTATTTCTTCAAGAGCTTAATACTACTCCTATACTATAAAGAAAGATTAGTTGTACATAATCAAGTTGTCCTAATTCACGTGCCACATTTTCAAGTGAATTATATCACTCTCTTGAAGTGGAAAAGAAAATCATACACTTGGATTTGCCAGCCCAACAGGGTTCGTCCCCGGAGTATTATTGGCAAAAATTTAGGCATCAAGCTATTGCTTACTCCCTCCGTTCCACTTTAATAGTCCTATTTTCCTTTTTCGTCTGTCCCAAATTGTAGTCCACTTTCCAATTGAAGAATGTAGTTGTATTTTAATTTTTCTAAAATGCCCTTATTCAATATAAGTTGTTGTTACTATAAACCTACCCCATTTAATGAGAGTTGATTCTTTTTTTGCCATCAATTCAAGTTCCCATAACATTGTACTCTATTTAATGCGAGGGTATTTTAGAAAAATAGTAATCTAAATTTACTTTTTCAATAAAATTAATTATTTTTTCTTAAATTGTGTGAAAAAAGAAATAGGACTGTCAAAGTAGGACGGAGGGAGTAGTAACTACTTGGCACATCATGGATTTGAGCACAATTTGATGGACACTTGTACTACTGTCATTTCTCCACCAATTCTGATGTTGGCACAAGCTTTTCCAAGTTTTCTTTGATCTTTTCGTTCTTTATAGATTGCTTTTTCAAAAGCGTGGACTAGTATGAAATTAATACTAGTTGAGTATTTGGTTCATGTGGGCTTAAAAGCATAGATTTGACCCCGATTCGGTTCACTCCACAACTAAAAACAGCGAGTACATAAAAATAAAGCCAGATTAGACAGTTTCTTAAGCGGAGCAGAGCAGGTTCAAGACCTTCTCTGCTTACGAAAAAAGAAGAAGGAAACCAAAAAAACAGCTTGAATTTTAACTTAAACTCATCGATTGTCTAATGCCTAAACATGTTTGAAAGCACGCTTTCTACCTTTTTTGTCGATGGCTTTGGGACAAAATGGATGTGGGTCAACAATACCCCT